AACGTTGTCTGGTTTATTGTTTGAACAGTCACAGGGATTATATTAGGTTATTAATGCAAAATGGGCTGCTTGTTTAATGCCAAGCTAAACCAAGACAGCAATCTTGAAATTGAAGTGATTTTGAAGTTGATTAGCTTCCCACATCGCCATGTGAAATTATCAGCTTTATAATTTGAAAAATATTATTTTACTTGCTAGTGTAACCTACAACATTATCACAGTTTTTAGTGTGATGCTTGAATGTATTCACTCCCATATCAGCAAACAATATGTCATGTTTTAGTCGTGGAGAAAAAGCACATGACTCGCAGTTTAAAAAAAACCCAAAATAGCCTGGAATCACTAGTTATTACTTCTAAACAAAATACATTTTTGGGGGGATTAATAAGGCTACGTTGTTGTTTGGTTTATTGTTTGAACAGTCGCTATGAATATATTTGGTTATCAATGAAAAATATACTACTTTGATGCATAGCCTACAGTGCATTCGGAAAGTATTCATACCCCTTGACTTTTTCCACAATTTGTTACGTTACAGCCTTATTCTGAAATGGATTACATTTGTTTTTTCCCTCATCAATCTACACACAATACCCCACAATGACAAAGCAAAAACAGGGTTTTAGAAATTTGTGCAAATGTATTAAAAATAAAAAACTATCACATTTACATAATTATTCAGACACTTAACTCAATACTTTGTTGAAGCACCTTTGGCAGCGATTACAGCCTCTAGTCTTATTGGGTATGACGCTACAAGCTTGGCACACCTGTATTTGGGGAGTTTTTATCATTCTTCTCTGAAGATCCACTCAAGCTCTGTCAAGTTGGATGGGGAGCGTCGCTGCACAGCTATTTTCAGGTCTCTCCAGAGATGTTCGATCGGGTTCAAGTCCGGGCTCTGGCTGGGCCACTCAAGGACATTCAGAGACTTGTCCTGAAGCCACTCCTGCATTGTCTTGGCTGTGTGCTTAGGGTCGTTGTCCTGTTGCAAGGTGAACCTTTTCCCCAGTCTGAGGTCCTGAGCGCCCTGGAGCAGGTTTTAATAATAAATAATAATATGCCATTTAGCAGACGCTTTTATCCAAAGCGACTTACAGTCATGCGTGCATACATTTTTTTTTGTGTATGGGTGGTCCCGGGGATCGAACCCACTACCTTGGCGTTACAAGCGCCGTGCTCTACCAGCTGAGCTAGTTTTCATCAAGGATCTCTCTGTACTTTACTTCGTTCATCTTTGCCTCAATCCTGACTAGTCTCCCAGTCCCTGCCGCTGAAAAACATCCCCACAGTATGATGCTGCCTCCACCATGCTTCACCGTAGGGATGGTGCCAGGTTTCCTCCAGACGTGATGCTTGGCATTCAGGCCAAAGAGTTCAATCTTGGTTTCATCAGACCAGAGAATCTTGTTTCTCATGGTCTGAGAGTCTTTAGGTGCCTTTTGGCAAACACCAAGCAGGCTGTCATGTGCCTTTTACTGAGGAGTGGCTTTCGTCTGGCCACTCTACCATAAAGGCCTGATTGGTGGAGTGCTGCAGAGATGGTTGTCCTTCTGGAAGGTTCTCCCATCTCCACAGAGGAACTCTGGAGCTCTGTCAGAGTGACCATTGGGTTCTTGGTCACCTCCCTGACCAAGGCCCTTCTCCCCCGATTGCTCAGTTTGGCCAGGCGGCCAGCTCTAGGAAGAGTCTTGGTGGTTCCAAACTTCTTCCATTCAAGAATGATGGAGGCCACTGTGTTCTTGGGGACCTTCATTGATGCAGAAATGTTTTGGTACGTTTCCCCAGATTTGTGCCTCGACACAATCCTGTCTCGGAGCTCTACGGACAATTCCTTCGACCTCATGGCTTGGTTTATGCGCTGACATGCACTGTCAGCTGTAGGACCTTATATAGACGTGTGTGTGCCTTTCCAAATAATAATATGCCATTTAGCAGACGCTTTATCCAAAGCGACTTACAGTCACGCGTGCATACATTATTTTGTGTGTATGGGTGGTCCCGGGGATCGAACCCACTACCTTGGCGTTACAAGCGCTGTGATCTACCAGCTGAGCTACAGAGGACCACAGACCACAGCCAAATCATATCCAATTAATTGAATTGACCACAGGTGGACTTCAATCAAGTTGTATAAACATCTCAAGGATGATCAATGGAAATAGGATGCACCTGAGCTCAATTTCGAGTCTCTTTTTTATTTGTAATACATTTGCAAAAAATTCTAAACCTGTTTTCGCTTTGTCATTATGGGGTATTGTGTGTATGTGTGTTTGTTTGTGTGGATAAAAAAAAAAAAAAAAAACATTTCATCATTTTAGAATAAGGCTGTAACGTAACAAAATGTGGAAAAAGTCAAGGGGTCTGAATACTTTCCGAAGGCACTGTAGATCAGATCAAGGAACAAAGCGAGTTGGTGGTAAAATACAGAATCACTGCACCCACGGCTGCGCAAGGAATGATAAGGCACATTCCAATTTTCATGTGGCACAGGAGTATGTCGAATTTCGTAGCTCCGAATCATGCTTTTCCGTTGGGCATAAATACCCCTTTACTTGTCTGTGCCCTGTCTTCCTTTTTGGGTGGCCCACTATTCACCTGCCCCCCTCCTTTCCTCCTCAGTGTCCTCCCCTCCCTGGTCGTCACTAGTTAACACAGCCACAAAGTCATTATGGCTAAAGCTCGCCTATTTCTAAACATGTAATTCTTAAAATCTGATTTTAAACCTAATCTTTACCCTAACCTTAACCACAATGCTAACCTTATGCCTAACCCTACATTTGTGTAGCCAATTTGGACTTTGTGTTTGTGAAAGATTGCCTACATTATCTAGTGGAACCCCCCCCCCCCCCCCCTCCCTCCCTCTGCCCTCTCGTTGCCCCCTGGCCATACTTTTGTGCCCCCTGGGTGCCCCCCTCTGTCCTCCTGCCCCCTCTCTGCTCTGCACAGAGCCCCTGATTATCTCTCAGTGGCAGCCTCTGTTTTGTGCTCTGATTGAAGAAGCAGCATGTGGTCTGTGTGTGAGCGGGGCCATACAGCAACGTGGGGGTAATGCTAACATTACGTGCTTAATCATTTATGTCTGGGAGCAGGCACAAAGACTTTGGGGAAACACACTGGGGTATTTATCAGTTGGCAGACACAAACACTACCAAGATATCGGTCAGCCTGGGCTTAGTATGTCAAAAACACGCTGCATGGGGAATAGGTGCCGGAATTGCAGGGAGATTTATGCCAACAGCAACAATCATCAAATCTTATCAATGTGGAATTGGTACAGGAATAGTGTGGATGTGTTGCTGTAGAGTGTGGTGGGCTCTGCTTGAATCAGTCAGACAGATCACAGCTGAAATCAAACAGAGGTAAATGTACATTTATGTCGTTGTGCCTAAAGACATATGCAATATTGAAGGGTTAGAGGCAGCCTCTTCATTTGAAATGTTTCTGTTTGGGCTCCCTGCTGTGATCATCTAGTCCTCCTCCTCGTTCTCCTGCGTCTGTCTGCTCCACTCGCTGCCAAGCAGGCTGTCTCTCACTCTCACAGTACAGCTCAGCCAATAGGAGAGCACCAGTCGCCCAATTGCTTGCCACTCAATGCCTTGTTGCCAGGACAACAGGAAGGCATGAGACCCACTTTACTTGAGCATTTTAAACTTGGTGTTGACTCTTTACTGAAAACAAGGGAAGGTATTTCTCTCTCAGTAAAATTCCCCTCTGTCATGGTGCTCTTAGATCTAATCCCTTTACTTTCATCTCTTTCTTTCCTTTTATCCCGTCACACCAATGGCTTGAATTCCTTTTAGTGAACATGACAAAGGCATTTATACAGATGCTGCTTGTCAATTTCTGTGTGATGCAAATAAATGTGTGCGTCTTGTCAGGGAATCTTCTGAGTACATAGATTGTAAGCTATTGGGCAGGTCCATGTTTAGTGAACACATTATTCCAATGTCATTTGGTGGTCTAATCGCAACTTCTACCCTGTCTTCCAGGTCTACAATGTTAGATGGCGACATGTTTTTCCTGGTCTTCATACTTCTGGTTTTACCCTCTTCCAGTGTGAAAGGTAAGATTTTGACACATCTCCTTAAAAAAACATGGCTACTCTCACTAACAAAGAGATTGGGGTACATTAGGGTGTCTCTTCAGAGACTACACACATTCATTCGGCCAAGTACACGGCTCCGAAACTGTGTAGTGAGTTAAACATCTTCCTGTCAAGGGCATGTTATGGCTCTCATTTTCTCCCTATGTCTCTCTCCCTCTCCCCCCGCTGTCTTGCAGCATTTTTTAACAACTGCAGTGACAGGCTCAGACTGAGCTCTGGGAGAACTGAGGATTTCTCACTGTCACTGTCTGGCTGGGGATACTTATTATTCTGCATAATCTACTGTAGAGTTGCAGCTAAATGATAAAACTCTCAAATCAAAGAGAGAAGTAAATGAGGCAGGTTGGATATACCAAAGCTCTTGCACTAACATGACCACAATATGACCATGATATTCACAATGCCGAACATCCACATAGTATACTGTATGCCAAAGTCTCCTGAGTGGCGCAGTGGTCTAAGGCACTGCATCGCAGTGCTAACTGTGCCACTAGAGATCCTGGTTCGAATCCAGGCTCTGTCGCAGCCGGCCGCGACCGGGAGACTCATGGGCGGCGCACAATTGGCCCAGCGTCGTCCAGGGTAGGGGAGGGAATGGCCGGCAGGGATGTAGCTCAGTTGATAGAGCATGGTGTTTGCAACGCCAGGGTTGTGGATTCGTTTCCCACGGGGGGCCAGTATAAAAAAAATATGTATTCACTAACTGTAAGTCGCTCTGGATAAGAGCGTCTGCTAAATGACTAAAATGTAAATGTAATTATCGATGGTTTTAAAATGTGTTTCCTTTTCGGTTCTATCCAATGTATGTCTGTTCTTCTGACTGTGTTTCCTGTGCAGTTAAGGGGAGCGTGAGTGACTACGAGTGTGTGTGCGGTGGGCCGTCATGCGACAGAGGAGACCGGTGCTTTGGCCAGCAGTGCTTCTCGGCCCTCTCCGTCCAGAACGCCATGTCCGTCCAGCAGAAGGGATGCATTGTGGGGCGGGGCGAGGAGTCCATAAATTGCGAAAGCCCCCCATCCCATAATCTGACGGTGGAGTGCTGCCATGGCGACCTTTGTAACATGAATGTCACAATGGCAACACCAGCGAGAGGTGACACATTGTTCTCATTGGATTAGAGTCATCGCACACAAGCTTTTATCCCTCCTTCAACCTAGGCTTAGCACTAGCAATGTGCTGAGTCATAAACATTTCCACTACCGATACCTACCTACCTAAGCAGCACATGACCACTTTGCACATAGATTTAGCTAATGACACATTTACATTGTTCAATTGCGTCAAGGCCAGTTGGGTACATAAGTGAAATCCGTGCATAAACAAAACTCCTGGAAGAGTTGTTATATTCTCCTAAATGAATGAGAATTACAAGCATTCATGGATTTCTCTGATCTCCCTCTCCTTTTTTTTAACAGATGAGGAAGTGATGCCTGTCTTGCAAGACAATGAGTGTGTGTGTGAGGGGCGGTCGTGTGAGGGCTTAGAGCGCTGTACGGGCCAGCAGTGTTTCTCCTCTGTGAAGATCAGTGACGGGTTTGTGGTTCCCCAGAAGGGCTGCCTTCAGGATGACGACCAGGGGAGAGCCACCTGCGCCACCCCTCCCTCTCCCAGCCACATAGTCAAGTGTTGCCACGGGCACCTGTGTAACCTGAACATCACTGTGGAAGCACCAGTGAAAGGTAACCCACCACCCTGTTTTCACTGAAATCATTACTGTAATTTTTTATAATCATGGCTTCACTGAAGGTCCATCTCACTTCTTTGTTTCATGATTCATTTAGATTTAATTAATGATTAGAGGTACAGAAATTCCTTAAAGCAGCAATCAGCAGTTGAAACAATAACAAAGAGTATCCCTGCCCATGTTTCGGTAAATAACTGCGGGATGGGGCTGGAGAAATGTTACCACTCTCAAATTCATAGACAGAGCTATAGGATGCAAGGACTGACCATCCATGGTATCACAATTCTATTATTATTATATAATTTTTTGAGGCTATATAGTGTTTCTTCACATTTATTTTGTTTACAAACAGGAAAGCAAATGTTAGAATGGGGAATAACTTGCTCCTGGGTGAAGTGTCCCCTAAGTACAGATCTAGGATCAGCTTCCATCACCCAATCCTAACCTTAACCATTAGTGGGAAATATTCAAAGTTTACCCAAGATCAGCGTCTAGGAGCAACTTCACCCTACTCTGTCTTTCTGTTACCTGTCCAGAGGATAAAGTGAAGTCTGCCGGCGAGCACGAGTGTGTGTGCGAGGGGCGCTCGTGTGTCACCGGGCCGCGCTGTATGGGCCAGCACTGCTTCTCCAGTCTGACGGTCAGCGACGGAGACCTGGCCTACCAGAAGGGCTGCTTCAAGGTGTACGAGCAGAGCAGGATGACCTGCAAGACGCCGCCCTCCCGCGACCAGATCGTTGAGTGCTGCCAGGGCCACCTGTGTAACATGAACATCACTGTGGCGCTGCCTGTCATAGGTAAATAAAACACTTGCGTCCCAAATGGAACCCTATTCCCTAGGTAGTGCACTATATACAGTTGAAGTCGGAAGTTTACATACACCTTAACCAAATACATTTAAACTCAGTTTTTCACAATTCCTGACATTTAATCCTAGTAAGAATTCCCTGTCTTAGGTCATTTAGGATCACCACTTTATTTTAAGAATGTGAAATGTCAGAATAATAGTAGAGAGAATGATTTATTTCTGCTTTTATTTATTTCATCACATTCCCAGTGGGTCAGAAATTTACATACACTCAATTAGTATTTGGTAGCATTGGCTTTAAACTGTTTAACTTGGGTCAAATGTTTCGGGTAGCCTTCCACAAGCTTCCCACAATAAGTTGGGTGAATTTTGGCCCATTCCTCCTGACATAGCTGGTGTAACTGAGTCAGGTTTGTAGGCCACCTTGCTTGCACACGCTTTTTCAGTTCTGCCCACAAATATTCTATAGGATTGAGGTCAGGGCTTTGTGATGGCCACTCCAATACCTTGACTTTGTTGTCCTTAAGCCATTTTGCCACAACTTTGGAAGTATGCTTGGGGTCATTGTCCATTTGGAAGACCCATTTGCGACCGAGCTTTAACTTCCTGACTGATGTTGCTTCAATATATCCACATAATTTTCCTTCCTCATGATGCAATCTATTTTGTGAAGTGCACCAGTCCCTCCTGCAGCAAAGCACCCCCACAGCGTGATGCTGCCACCCCCGTGCTTCACGGTTGGGATGGTGTCCTTGGGCTTGCAAGCTGTCCCCTTTTTCCTCCAAACATAACGATGGTCATTATGGCCAATCAGTTCTATTTTTGTTTCATCAGACCAGAGGACATTTCTCCAAAAAGTACGATCTTTGTCCCCATGTGCAGTTGCAAACCGTAGTCTGGCTTTTTTATGACGGTTTTGGAGCAGTGGCTTCTTCCTTGCTGAGCGGCCTTTCAGGTTATGTCAATATAGGACTCGTTTTACTGTGGATATAGATACTTTTGAACCTGTTTCCTCCAGCATCTTCACAAGGTCCTTTGCTGTTGTTCTGGGATTGATTTTCACTTCTCGCACCAAAGTACAGTCATCTCTAGGAGACAGAACGCGTCTCCTTCCTGAGTTGTATGACGGCTGCGTGGTCCCATTGTGTTTATACTTGCGTACTATTGTTTGTACAGATGAACGTGGTACCTTCAGGCGTTTGGAAATTACTCCCAAGGATAAACCAGACTTGTGGAGGTCTACAATTTGTTTTCTGAGGTCTTGGCTGATTTATTTTGATTTTCCCATGATGTCAAGCAAAGAGGCACTGAGTTTGAAGGTAAGCCTTGAAATACATCCACAGGTACACCTCCAATTGACTCAAATTATGTCAATTAGCCTATCAGAAGCTTCTAAAGCCATGACATCATTTTCTGGAATTTTCCAAGCTGTTTAAGGGTACAGTCAACTTAGTGTATGTAAACTTCTGACCCACTGTAACTGTGATACAGTGAATTATAAGTGAAATAATCTTTCTGTAAACAATTATTGGAAAAATTACTTGTGTCATGCACAAAGTAGATGTCCTAACCGACTTGCCAAAACTATAGTTTGTTAACAAGAAGTTTGTGGAGTGGTTGAAAAACAAGTTTTAATGACTCCAACCTACAGTGGGGAAAAAAAGTATTTAGTCAGCCACCAATTGTGCAAGTTCTCCCACTTAAAAAGATGAGAGAGGCCTGTAATTTTCATCATAGGTACACGTCAACTATGACAGACAAATTGAGGAAAAATCACATTGTAGGATTTTTAATGAATTGATTTGCAAATTATGGTGGAAAATAAGTATTTGGTCACCTACAAACAAGCAAGATTTCTGGCTCTCACAGACCTGTAACTTCTTCTTTAAGAGGCTCCTCTGTCCTCCATTCGTTACCTGTATTAATGGCACCTGTTTGAACTTGTTATCAGTATAAAAGACACCTGTCCACAACCTCAAACAGTCACACTCCAAACTCCACTATGGCCAAGACCAAAGAGCTGTCAAAGGACACCAGAAACAAAATTGTAGACCTGCACCAGGCTGGGAAGACTGAATCTGCAATAGGTAAGCAGCTTGGTTTGAAGAAATCAACTGTGGGGACAATTATTAGGAAATGGAAGACATACAAGACCACTGATAATCTCCCTCAATCTGGGGCTCCACGCAAGATCTCACCCCGTGGGGTCAAAATGATCACAAGAACGGTGAGCAAAAATCCCAGAACCACACGGGGGGACCTAGTGAATGACCTGCAGAGAGCTGGGACCAAAGTAACAAAGCATACCATCAGTAACACACTACGCCGCCAGGGACTCAAATCCTGCAGTGCCAGACGTGTTCCCCTGCTTAAGCCAGTACATGTCCAGGCCCGTCTGAAGTTTGCTAGAGTGCATTTGGATGATCCAGAAGAGGATTGGGAGAATGTCATATGGTCAGATGAAACCAAAATAGAACTTTTTGGTAAAAACTCAACTTGTTGTGTTTGGAGGACAAAGAATGCTGAGTTGCATCCAAAGAACACCATACCTACTGTGAAGCATGGGGGTGGAAACATCATGCTTTGGGGCTGTTTTTCTGCAAAGGGACCAGGACGACTGATCCGTGTAAAGGAAAGAATGAATGGGGCCATGTATCGTGAGATTTTGAGTGAAAACCTCCTTCCATCAGCAAGGGCATTGAAGATGAAACGTGGCTGGGTCTTTCAGCATGACAATGATCCCAAACACACCGCCCGGGCAACGAAGGAGTGGCTTCGTAAGAAGCATTTCAAGGTCCAGGAGTGGCCTAGCCAGTCTCCAGATCTCAACCCCATAGAAAATCTTTGGAGGGAGTTGAAAGTCCGTGTTGCCCAGCGACAGCCCCAAAACATCACTGCTCAAGAGGAGATCTGCATGGAGGAATGGGCCAAAATACCAGCAACAGTGTGTGAAAACCTTGTGAAGACTTACAGAAAACGTTTGACCTGTGTCATTGCCAACAAAGGGTATATAACAAAGTATTGAGAAACTTTTGTTATTGACCAAATACTTATTTTCCACCATAATTTGCTAATAAATTCATAAAAAATCCTACAATGTGATTTTCTGGAAAAAAAATTCTCATTTTGTCTGTCATAGTTGACGTGTACCTATGATGAAAATTACAGGCCTCTCTCATCTTTTTAAGTGGGAGAACTTGCACAATTGGTGGCTGACTAAATACTTTTTTTCCTCACTGTAAGTGTATGTAAACTTCCGACTTCAACTGTAGGTAATAGGGTGCCATTTGGAACACACAATACAATGGCTCACATTCATTTATATGCAATCCCTATTCTAACGAGAGGTCTGTGTGATGCACATTTGCATTCAAACCAAGGTTATTCATGCCAGGAAAACAAAAACATTTTTGTGCCAGATGCTTTTGGTGATCTGCTGTCTGTAATGGATTCACTGACACGGTTCACAGGCAGGTGCTCAATTGATAAACCAATGGTGTCGAGGCACTGTGATTTTCTTTTGGGATATACTTTTCTTACCCATTCATGATGCTCTGCCAGATTAGCCTTATTTACAGGCCAAGTGCAAATAAGACTAGGTTTCCTCTTCCAATTAGGACTGTACGTATCCGTCCGTAAGGTTTAGTTCTGCCCGTGTTTAAGGTCCGAGGGACGCTCATTCCATCCACTTGGCCATTCTCCAGCGAGGGCACGACGCCGCGGTGTGTGAAATTGTCTGCCAGATCCGTTTGCTGCACGGCCATCTATTGGTTTGCTTTTCAGTGTCTGTGTGGCGGTTACACCATGAGCACCTCCACAGCCACAGCAGAGGAGGGGAGAGTTAAGGAAAGAGACGGACGTTTGAATATTGTTTAGTCACGGTCTACTTCCTCCTCTGTCCTCTCTGAGATTGTCAGTGCGGTTTGACACAGAGCTCTAGGGCAAAGCAGAACAGAACTGAGATGCATCCCAATTGTCACCCTATTCCCTAAATCAGTGGTTCCCACATCCGGTCCTCAAGTACCCCCAACAGTACACATTTTAGTTGTATCCCCGGACAAACACACCTCATTCAACTCACCAAGGGCTTGATGATTAGTTGACAAGTTTAATCAGATGTGCTTGTCTGGGGCTACAATACAAATGTGTACTTTTGGGGGAAATCGATGACTGGAGTTGGGAAACACTGACCTATATGGTGTACTACTTTGGACCAGGGCCCATGGGGTAGTGTACTAGGGAATAGGGTGCCATTTGGGACACAGACTGAATGCGATATATAGCTGTGGTCGTCTGAGACCAGCCACCCGGACAGCTGATGAAACTGAGGAGTATTTCTGTATTAAAGCCCTTTTGTGGGGGAAAAACTCGTTCTGATTGGCTGGGCCTTTCTCCCCAGTGGGTTGGCCAGTCTCCCAAGTCGGTGGGCCTATGCCCTCCCAGGCCCACCCATGGCGCCCCTGCCGAGTCATGTGAAATCCATAGATTAGGGCCTAATGAATTTAATTAAATTGACTGATTTCCTTATGAACTGTAACTCAGTAAAATCATTGAAATTGTTGCATTTATATTTTTGTTCAGTGCATTCGGAAAGTATTCAGACATCTTCCCTTTTCCACATTTTTTTACGTTACAGGCCTTATTCTAAAATTGATTAAATAAATGTTTTCCCTCATCAATCTACACACAATACCCCATAATGACAAAGCGAAAACAGGTTTTTAGAAGTTTTTGCAAATTTATAAAATAAGAAATACATACCTTATTTACATAAGTATTCAGACCCTTTGATATGAGACTCGAAATCGAGCTCAGGTGCATCCTGTTTCCTTGAGATGTTTCTACAACGTCATTGGAGTCCACCTGTGGTAAATTCAATTGATTGGACATGATTTGGAAAGGCACAGACACCTGTCTATATAAGGTCCTACAGTTGACAGTGCATGTCAGGGCAAAACCAAGCCATGAGGTCAAAGGACTCTCAG